GCTTTGCCATAAGCTTTGTTTAGTGTAGAAGGCCTTGCCTCGCAACGCTGCCAGTTCTGTTAGCTCTACGCTTGCCGAAGACATTATCCCCGTGAACACTGGGATGGAACTCAATGGTAAAGTAAATAATTCTTATTTCAACAGTTGCATATATTAGCTGCGACATATGAATCCAGATGCTATGACCAAAAAAACAGATGACCATTGATATGTCGTTTGCCGGATTTAGGTGTTCAGGCTGATGTATAACTAACTAGCCTGCATAAGATAATGGAGAAAAAAACTACAGATTTTAAGACAGGATTTTTTTAAATAGAAATTTTCAAACTTTTGCAAAAATACCTATTGATAAAGAGTACATTTATAGACATGTTTAAGCCAGAATGATTTGACATTTAAATATGACTTCTTTATGACTTTAACATTTAAACATGTTCAATCAAAAGATCAGGTTAACCCACTATTTACATCATCTAGGGATGAAATCATCTATTGATGCATGAAGGAAGCTTGGTTCCATTTTAACTCACAAAGTACTATCCTTCAATCTAACTTTGAAACAGCAAAATGTTTCATAATGGATGTCCTGCAGGTGGATTACCTGCATGAAGAGGCTGACATAAAGCTTCAGAGAGAACAAGTTGCAGAGCGTTATGCAGTTATTTTCGTTGCAGCTGCAGCGACTGCCAGATTGCATGCAGTTCTGCTGTGGATGGGTTGTTATGCAGAGCAGAAGAGAGGGTCTGGAGAGAAGCTCAAGTAAAATTGTTTTTTTTTTTCCCAGCATCTGATCAACTTCAAGTGTTGAATATTGTTCAGTAGGAAGAGCAACTTCTTTTGTTGCTCAAGTCTATTTAAGGGTAGAACATTATTTGGGTTCATTTGGGTATCATATAGAGCTGAAATTCTCCTGCTGAGAGCAGATCAGACGGCTTAGGTCAGCTTAGGTTCAGACTCTCACATCTTGACTATAAGGATCATTATTATCATTTCTTTCTTGGTCTTGGCAGCTGAATCAAAAACTCCTGAGGAGAACCACCTGAGTCCAAACAGGTTGTTAAGCTCTGCTGGGAGTGGGCTGCCTGTCTGCTGAAAAGGCAGAGGTCAGAGAATTTACTTGCAGGATTTAACTGACCGTGACACGGATGACTGAGAATCTTTACAGATATATTTACTTGCAGAAAATGTAGGAAAGATTGTTTTGAAGAAGTAGAAGATTAATAGGTGTGAAATACCCCTGATCAGCTCAAAGCTGTGTTTCAGAATTGTTGTACATGTTTCCTGATGCTGACACGGATCCATCTCTGGAAATGAATCCGCCTTCATGTTTCTCAATATCTTGATACATTTGATATAATTTGATCCTAAGATCATAGGAATGGGTTACAGATGAAATATTAACAGAAAGCAACTAAAATTAGAAGCTAAGATCATAAAAGGTTTCCTCAGACAAAAACTATCATAAATCTATCCTAACTGGATAAAATATGTTTCTGCTTCCTTGTCCCACATCTGTGAATCATGACACTACAAATGAGGCATCATGTTTTATGGTCTTTTATCTCAGTTAGTTGTCACTCTGTCTGGCTTTTTATTTTGACCTTTTCCTCTAATACTCAAGCATCTCAGAAGGTTTCTGCTGCTGCTCATAGCTTCAAGAAATCTCTAGGAGACATTCCCTCTGCATGCAGCCTTTCACCTTCAGGGTAAAGGGAAAGCTAAGCAGGACTTGATGCTTCTAGTCAGATGCTGTGGACTGAGGAGTTGTAAACCTGAAGCTCCACCTCCTTAAACAAATAAACCCTTGCCTTCCTCAGGATGATTAGCCCTTTAATGGCTCCAGCTTAGGGAATAAAATTAGTTTGCCTTGTGAGTAATGGAGCTCTGCTTCTAACAGCTATATGATTTACTTTGAGTAATTGGAGATTTGCTGGTTTCTGTTGGAGAATTTCAAATATCATTAGTTATTTAATTTATACATCCAAACATGCTAAAGACTTGTATCCATGTCAAGACTAGGTTTGCTTTTTTTTTTCTTTTTAAGCAAAGGAGGGCAGTACAGAGTACGGTTCCTTACATGTTTTGGATCAGCGTTTTCAAGATGATTTTGGGCTGCTTGGAAGTTTGTAGGGTTGTTGACTTTAAAAGTTTTCCAGATAAAAGGCTGAACCATGAACTAAATGATGGTAAATAAAAAGGTTTGAGGGTGTATTTTCAGTATTCTGATGATTATTAAATGCAGGTTCTGTTCTTTGTGGATTCCTGTTATTCTCTCATAGGCCCAATTCGCTGCTTTTGGTACTGATTACAAAACTTTCCTCATTCTCCTGACATCCCGAGGCCGTTTCATAAAGCAAGTTTACCAAACTCAAATCCTCAATTCTAAATTTATCTAATCTAAAGTTGGAAACTATAAAAAGCCATTATCAGTGTAGCCATGATTTGACGAGTCACAATGACAACAAGCAACATGCCTATTTCACACCAATTGAACTAGAGACTGTAAAATGTGTTTAAAAGACCGAGCTACTCTGCTACAGCTGCAAACGAGAGGAAAATGGGGTACGAGAAGATTGCTGCTAAAAAAAAAACTGTAAGTTTATACAGTATGAAGTCTCGATGGCAGGCCCTTTTGACATTTATCAAAAGCCCTCTCCTCTCTGTTTGATTTTTAGATCACTAAAATTGGATTCTACCTGGTAAAAATCACATTCATAGTCCTTACTTTCATGATAGATTGTCTAAATTACATTATTGCCAGCAGACACTGAATTTCAGAAAGTCCAAAAACAAAAACTGTGCTAGTAAAAATAAATTTTTATATACCCAGAAATGTTTACACATTTTAAATGGCTGTTTTGAAATTTACCAGCTTGACTGAATATGTATGATACAGTGGTAGCCATTCATAATTTGCCCATTTTCCCCAATGGGCCCTTGGTTGGTCCTCTACAATTCCTTTTTAAACTTCAATCTTTGTACTAAATATTTTTTCTGTCATGATTTGTGGACATTAAGATCTAAAGAGAAGGTTAAATTCCTGGTCAGACCCTGTAATTCAGTGAAAGTGTGGAGTAAGAGTGAAAAGATATGCATGCACAGGACATGGTATTTGACTGGGAAGGGCCATTTTGAATGACTAATACTTCCGTTAAAGTTTAAAAAACAATCCACTGGACTTGGTTTCCAAGATTTGAAGACGTTTCGCTACCTCTCCAGGAAGCTTTCTCAATTCACATTTGAATTGAGAAAGCTTTCAAATCTTGGAAACCAAGTCCAGTGGATTGTTTTTTAAACTTTCACGGAATGACTATGACCTGGATGACTGAGAATCTTCATCAGCAAATGGCTACTACTGTATATCAAATAACTTTTTGAACAAAATAATAAAAAATTATTACAAGTATCAATATGAATGTGGAAATCTTAAATTAATTTGTCAATATCCAGAATGTAGATATAAGATATATAGAATTTCGTTTGTTTAAAATGCTAATTTGAATATATTACAGATGGGACCTCTGTATCATCTCATTGGGTTCTTTCTCATGATGACTTTGTCTTACATTACACAATAAATACTAAGTGGCTGTTTGATTGTGCAGTTGTTTTCTATTATGCTGTTATCACACATAAATGTTCTCTAACCTATATCAAGTACAGGTAAATATCTGTTAAAGAAGTCTGTAATGCTGCAAATGTGAGGACGGATGAGTTTGTTGATGGGTATGTCATTGATTTTGAAGTGAAACTGTAGTGCTCATAATAATTTCTGAAAAGAAATGACATCTGTACACTGTCTAAGAACCCTCTCCTTATAAATATTTAATTCTTGGCCAGCTAAGGCTGTTCTTTCTTTAATTGGATCCTCGTCTAAAGAATATGATATATTTGTGTTTTTAAAACCTAATATCTTTGATGGATCTAATGGCTGATTTTCTTTTGTTGTTAGTACAAAATATGACAGAAATCCTCGAGAAAATCAGGAAACAAACGTGATTGGAGAGTTAAGTCAGACAGCTACCGAACAGGTTGACTCTTGGGAGAATGTTACTAATGTAACAGAAATAGTGGCTGATGAAAAATCCTTTTGGAACAGAAAACTCAGAGTTTCCCTAATTTCAGGTTAAGAAAACAGTAGCGTTTTCAGTAAATCTTCTGAAACAAGCCCCTGCAGCTGGACCTGCCATTAAAGGACCTTCTACTGGGTTCTGACTAAGTGTACTGATTTAAAATGCACCACATCCAGTCATAAAAACTTGTTATTTTTTCCCAACTTTATAATACAGCTCTACTTTACAATGTTTTTTTGGGATAACATGAGTCCAACAGATATGAATCCCTCTGCAAGGCAAAGTTAATTTCCTGGCCCACTTCAACCATCTTAAATAACCACATCATCCCTGTGACAGTGACTTAGGCAGTGTGGATCTCAGGATGGGCGGATTTCAAGGAGGATTGAAGGAGGCATAATTTGCTGCTGACAGTCCCCAAGCAGAAAACCTTCTTAGAAACGCTAACAATTTCCTACAGTCACCTATTTAGCCTCCTCACTTCAGTTTCAAAACATTGTTTTCTAACTGTGGCAGCTGACTTTAGGAAGTGGGCCAAAGTCATCACATGTACAGTAGGTCTCTGGAGGAAAAGGGTGGTGAGGTTTTCTTTGAGGACAAAATTGTTGACAACCTAAAGGAGAGAAACGAAATGAACAAAAGAGAAAAAAAACACTGATTAGCTGTGAAGCAAAGATGTAAGCTGATCGGTTGAAGATCCAGGAACAAAAAAAAATTTAAACTTGTTTCATTTCATTCCAGCATTTTCTCTCGATTTAATTGATGGGTCTGTCCTTCTTTTATCCTTTCTGTCAATATAAATGGAGTTTAAGTAATTTGTCATCTAGGATGTTCTGGTGAAACACAGAAACATCATAGAAATGTGTTAATTATCTCCTAAAAACCTTTTACGTCTCTGAAATTGTGTCTTTGTGTCTCTTTCTGCAGGGAACAAACAGACTTATTCGGACTGCTGACTAATGAGATGGATGACTCTGAAGACTTTTAGTCCAGCATTTGCTGGCTCTTGCACTCAAAAGAAGGTTGTGTTCTCCTTGGACATCCAAGTAAACCACATGGTCATCCGTAAGATAGGAGAGAGACTAAAGGTAAGCAGCTTTACAATCAGTGCTGAGCTCTGGATAAAATATTTGATGGACGAGCTACAGAGCTGATCTCTGTGGCATGATCTGGACAAATGCTGTTAACCCAGAACTGGATGTTTTAGAACTGCAGTTATTTGGTGCAGATACATATTGTTTTGGTTGCTTTAAGGTTTGGGGCTCAGTATTTCAGGATGTTTCTTTTGTTGGTCATTGGTGTGTTTCCCTTTCCTTTGGATTCATCAAACCATAGGACCCAGATGATGACAGGCGGAAGACATGATGTCTGAGTCATTTATTAAACAATTAAAACTGAACCAAAAAGAAATCCTTAAAGAATTAGATTAATGTTCACAGATAATTATTAGTGACTTGCTTGTATTTGATGGCATTACACGAAAGATTCAAGATGAGAATGATGTGTAGTATTTATGTCTGTTCAATGTTTCCGTTTTAGATTTGCCTGTCGCAAAATCTTGCCCTGTACTGCCTCCTTTTACTGTTGGTTATTTGGTGTTAGTTTCTACCAACTTGAAAACATCCTCAGACTAAAAAAAGTTGGGATCACTCTGACACATGATCTGTATTCAGGCTGGTTGTCCATGAGATTCAGATCAGATTTATTTTGTTGAATGACCAACAGTTCTCCTGTGGATAGGTTGTGCCACAGGGGCTGTGGATCTCTGCAGCTCCTCCAGAGTCATCATGGTCCACAGTGTCTTAGTAGACCACCTTGTGTTCCTTTGTTGCTACATGTTTAAAGTTTGGGAGATTACCTATACCATTAAATTGAACTAGAACTTCCTCCCTGACATTCTAGGTTCCTTTGTCTGCATGCTCACTGCTTCCCAAGAAGATGGCTTAAAATGCAGAGGAAAGCTGTGGGAAAATAGAAAGTTAGCTATATTATTATTAGTTATATAGCAGGACTCTGGTTATTGATGAGGATACTTCAGAGGGTATAGTTGCACTCAGTGGAATTAAACTTTTCGTTGTCCTTTCGAGGAGTCGAAGCAAAGGGGTGTTTCATTTTTTGGTTCGGATTCATGCTCACTTTGTATTGATTGTTTTAATAAAATAAAGTAAATACACAAAAGTTTACACTTGAAATATATCCCAGCACCACTGATGTTTCTATGGCCTCAAAGCTGACTCTTCTGACCTGAGGAGGTCATGATTTTAGGAAGAAATTTGACCCATATACATACTCAAGAGGCAAAAGCAGTTTTAAAAAGGTTTATTTAGAAGTACTCAGGAGATTGATCTGAGACAGTGATCTGAAAGAATTGTGGCCAAGAGAGAAGAATCCTTTGAGGAGAAGCTGAGATGATGGTTAGGTGATTCCAGAATGCAAGCTTCTCGAGGTTCTTTTCCAGGGGATGTTTAGTGGCTCCTAGTGATGTTATGAGACCGCCATAATGTCTGACAGCTTCAGATCAAAAACTTTGACAGGCATCACAACCCTTTAGTATTCAGTCAAGATGTGGGAGTTTGCAGGAGGGTTGCGGTCAGTTGGATAGAGTTTGGATATACTATTTAATAGACTGGTTGTTTGTTCAGCCAATCTAGTTGGTCAAAACAATGCTGCTAGATAAAAGGATATAATGATCAATACTGAATAGTAATAGAAAGTCAGTAGTATTACTTTCTGGAATGTTAGTGGTGATAGTGGGGTCTGCTTTGGAACGTTGTTATACTACTTAACAAGTATTTTAGTCAAAGTGAGCAATTTTGATTGGTTTGCCCTTTTTCCAATATAGATTGAGTAAAAACATGAACCAAAAGATTGGTTTGAAACATAACCTTTAACCAAAAACCAAAAATTGTGGAAAACCGTTTTTAATAAAAATTAATAATACATTTCATTTTGTTCATCATTTCACAAGTTGCACAAGCAGTTTCACTGTTTGCTTTAGCTTATGTCTCTAAAATGACAGAAAACAAAAAGTTTTACATTAAAAGATCATTCTATTGTAAGGAATTTCACACACAC